TATATAATTTTATATAATTTTATTTAATTATATAAAAATATTTTTTTCCCGAATCATTTGCTTTCAGAATCATTTTAGATACTTATAAAACTCAGCTAAAAAATATGTTAAATAATAAGTATTTTTTTATATTACTCTGTATTTTTTTATATTAAGTTGCTATCCAAAATTTTTTTTCGAAATCATGGATTTTATAAATCGCGATATCAATTTTATCGTCGATAGCTATATGCAGAGAGAAACCTGAGAAAAAACATGATGGACAAAACCTGTAAGGGGTTCCGCACAATAAAAGAAACAAGGAATAGAGAATAAGAATTTCAACCTATCAGAAACTGTGTATTCTACAATACATGATTTCTGATGGTTCAAATTCTTATTCCCTGTTCCTTTTATTGTGTAGAGCCTCTAATCGCAAAATGCTGTTACGCAATACGACTCTTCGAAGAATAATGTAAATTATCCAACAATATCCACCTTTTTTGCTCCTAGTGGAAATAAATCACTGAAATCGTTGAAGTCTTTACTAATTTAATAGATTTTATTTATTTATTTTAGCGATTTCAACTATCTATTTCCATCAGAAGCACCGTAAAAATGTAGATATTGTTGTGTAGTTAACATCCATTTCTTCAGAGGGCGATAGTGCAGCATTTGCGGTTACAGGTTTTGAGTCGTCATGTCCTTTCTTAGGTTTCTCTCTGCTGCAATGCTTTCGCAACTGCGATTTTAACAATTTTCAACAATTCCACAGAATAATAAATATATATATATAGTATCCAGTTTCCATATCGCTAATTAATTAAATAGATATTAGTATACAAAATTTTAAGCATTTTATGAAAAAATATAGACCGGGAAGACCGCGCTTTTCAACTCTCAAGTTTATCTCAGCCTTACAACAGCGCAGTGGCGCGATCTTGCAATGAAGCGCTCAACCCTCAACCGCGCGCCGTTCTGAGTGAATACGTGTACCTTCGCTTTTGTCGCGCAAAGCGCAAAGTCTACGGATCGCTCGTTGTCATCTGTGTCTTATGGTGGTGACACGTGAACCGCGTGGCCCTATTTAAAAGGCCGTTCTGAAGTGACGATGGAACGCGGACGTCGTACGCGCGATCTATTCGACTAGTGCTGATCCCCGATCACTAGATCCCTCGGCGAAGCTGTCCGTACACCTGACACTTCTGACGCAAGAGCAACTGGAAGATTATTAGATAGGCGATATTTGCCGCGTCATGCCCTCCAGAAGAAACAAAGGCGGCCTCCTGGCCAGGGTGAATTTCCCTCTTTACACTCTGCAGATGCTTACTAGCAGGCACATCCTGGTGGGAGGCGGAGGCGGCTCCTCCAAGACTGGCATTGCCAATGGATTTGTGAGTTTCTGCTGGTTCAGTAAGCAGATTGTTAGCTGAATCTGTCAGTTTGTGATCGTTTAAATGAATTATGTATTACTTAATATAATTATATACAACATAGCATTATGTACAACATAGATTATATTTAATTTCCATATTCTGCTAGATTCTATTAAATTTTCTTGAATGGCAGGTTTCTGTTATATATAATCATATTCTGTTAACAGATTCAGTTATATTTCTGTCGAAATTTGCCGAAAAAATTTATAGCAAACATTTTGTAATCTATTTTTGGCTATCAGAAATTTACTTTTGTTCTTTTTTATAAAATTTTCCTTTTTTTCTTGATTCGAGATCATAATATTTCATTTAAATACAACTGTTTAAAGAACCAGTTTTTGTTATTGCAGGAAATTTTCGAATTGTCACACAACGGAATACATTTTGTTGCTGAAGAAGTGACCAGGCATGAGACGGGTCCCAGCGTAGTCATGAATTGTGCCTCACATAATAATGGCAAAAAGACATGGATAGTTGCTGGCCAAGAGAGCCATTGTCAATTGTACAATGTAAATCCCAAGGTGGTGACTTCGGAGAATGGAGAATTGATCAAAGGACCGACAGCAATGGCTAATAAGGATGGTCTTAGACACAGAAGAAACAGTGAAAAAGTCGAAGATGTTCACTCACCAATGGAGAGGATAAAAGAAGAAATTAAAGACGACAATTCGAATGTCAAGAGCAAGAAACTTCAGTTAATACTCAAGCCTGCTGATAGTGTGCAGACAGCTTTCGGGTAAGTCAACTACATTGGATGCATTTAGTATTACAACCATTCACTAATGGCTAAATATTAATTGGATAGTATTAATTGGATAGTAGTGATTGATTGGATCTAAAGGTAAAAATTACTCATATTTTACTGCTACTCAGTTACATTTATAGTAGTAATACACTTAAGATTACTAAACTATGAAGATTACCTCATCCATTCTTTTGTAACGTCACTGTGAACTCTGTGCGAGGAGAGAGCAAGAGAGAAAGTTATAAATCTTTGTCTTTGTTAGTTGATGAACTGAGATTCACAGTGACGTCAATACAAAGAGCGTCTTGTTAATATATCCCCTATCCACAAATTTGCCAATGAGAATCTTTTTTTATAATTCAATAACCGTGGGTTATATTTATAATATTTATAATATTTATAATATTTATAATATTACATTTATAATATTACATCGAAGAGTATCACACTCTAATTTCTAATGAGGATTTTCTCACTTATAGAAACGGTGAACCTTTACAAAGAGTGGTCAGGGTGAATTTGCAAGGAACAATTATGGCCACAGGTAGCACAGATGGTAGAGTTAGATTATGGAAGTTCCCGCAGTTACATAAATTGTACGATCTTGACGCGCACGGGAAGGAAATAGATGACTTAGATTTTAGTCCGGACGGTAATCTGTTGGTGAGCATCGCTAAAGACGGAAAGGCCTTCTTGTGGAATCTCAACACTGGCACAAGGAATAAAGAGCTCACTTGGACAATGCTGGATGGCGTGAAATACATGTACAAAAGATGCCGATTCAGAAAATTGGCAGAGAATAAAACAAAGCTCGATCTATTCGTACTTTCCAACGCCGTTGCGGCGAAAAATCCTAGTTTCCTTCAGTTGTGGGACGTCCATACTGGAGCCATCACCAAATCCGCTTCTTACAAGGAAGCATTGTCAGCACTAGCCGTTTCTGATGATGGTAAATTCGTGGCCGTCGGCACAATGTTCTCCGGCAGCGTTGATATATTCGTGGCATTCAGTTTGAGGAAAGCACTCCATGTTCCTGGAGCGCATAGCATGTTTGTTACCGGTCTAGAATTCTTACCAACAAAACTAGATGGCCCCGCGATTACCAGTAACACGGAAACCGCAGTTGTCAGTATCTCCGTGGATAACAGGATTTGTATACATAGTATACCATTTAGACGTAAGTATTTTATTGCGAACGAATAGATAGTTGCCTTTGGGATCTATTAAAGCTAATAAACTTTGTTTTTTTTTTAACCTTTCAGACACACTGCCATTCTGGTTTGTCATTATATTGATAGTCTTATGCATATGTGGCGCGTTTATCTTCTGCAGTTATCTTGGTATATGACCCACAAAATATGCGACCGAGCCAATAAAGCAAGACATTATTTTTTCTTAATTATATATTTCCTAATTATATATTAGACCGATAATTGTCCTCGCGTATGAGAGATCAAAATAAACGCAACGCACGATTACTCATGAATAGTGGCTGCTCAAAAACATTACATAAACAGTCATAGGATTAAAGAAGGTATAAAAGAAGGTGCTGACCGGCATCTCGTCCGACACGTATGATATAATTAGTTTACGAAACAACGTACACGTAACTGTGAATATGCACAGTGTTAGCGTAAGAGATATTCTCGGTTCATTTAGCGGTTACCATTCGATCTTGATAGTAGAATTTATCGGATAGAGTATACAAACAGATTTTTTCAGAAAGCGTTTGCGCGACTTAGATATAGACGTGACGTCAGTCGGGGTGCTACTGTGATAAATAAATGTTGGAGTGCTTCCAACAAATCGGAGCTGCACCAATATCACACATTGATGTACATATAGATATTATGTTTTATCAATTTTTAGCGCAAAAGGAAGGGATTTAACAGCGCGATTATTTCTCTTCCGCACGAGTACGCTTAAATGATTTCATTAATGGCAAGTAATTCGAGACATGCGTTTCTCGTACTTATAGCGAACGATATTCTTTATCTTTTTCGTATCATAGACGAAAATTCATAATGCATTTATGTGCTGTATCATGTATATTGACACCTACTAGTATATTTTTTTTGATTATATATTCCTCTCTACTTTCTTCATAAAGTATGTAACATATATGAATGTTAAATATTGATTGTAACGATTGATTCGTAAACGCTGTACGAATTACCAGTAATTGTTACATTTCGCGAAATGAGCTTGTAATAAATACCGTTATTTATTTAGCACTTTCTAAAGTTTCTTAATTTATTTTTAGAGCACGTGTATTTTTATCACAAATCCAGCTATTAATGGAAATTTATCCGAATATGCGTGCGTGCGCGGGGTGCGCGCGCGTGGGTGTGTGTGTGTGTGTGTGTGTGTGTGTGTGTGTGTGTGTGTGTGTGTGTGTGTGTGTGTGTGTGTGTGTGTGTGTGTGTGTGTGTGTGTATCATATGTGGAATCTTTTCTGCTCATGGAAGATTGTGCAATGAATTTGTAAGCTCGATAATGACTTTATAATAATAAACTTAAATATATTTCATCATGGAATTGAAAGAATTATTAATGTATCCTATTAAACAATTTTATATTATCATATTGGCTATATTATTATATATATAAAACCTAATATCTATAAAATTAGATTTCAATTTTAATGCCTATTTTTTTAATATTATAACTTTGTATTTGTATGTAAGTCTTTAATCATTCCAAAGTATCAC